CGGAGTTGTGGTAAGCTGTTTAAGTGATAGTAACCTACTTACTTCTTTCATAACAGCAGACGTGAACTGTGAACCCATATCTGACAGCATCTCCTTTGGAACACCGACCCTGCTAAAAATCTCCAACAATGCCTCACCAACATACTCTGTTTCTATCCTTGGAAAAGCCACTGCCTCAGGGTACCTTGTAGCATAATCTACCACTGTGAGGATGTATCTGTTACCCCTTTCAGTTACTGGATACAAAGGACCAATCAAGTCTACAGCTATTCTTTCAAATGGTGTAGAAATCAAAGGCATCTGTCCTAACGGGACACTTCCAACCTTGCCCTTCGGGATTGTCCGTTGACACACGTCACATGATAAACAATGACGCCTCACATCGCCCTGAACTCCAGGCCAATAGAACTGAGAAGTAATTCTATCCAGTGTTCTCTTTACTCCCATATGACCAGCCATCAATGACTCATGACACACCTTCATGACCACTGACCTTAACTCTAAAGGTACTACAGCCTGAATAACGGGATCTTCCTTGCCAACATACTTGCGATATAGCATACCCTCATCTGCAAAATACTTTGACACACCTTTAGCTATTTGTGTTTCTGTCCCTTCTTCTATCAACTTCCTGACTTTATCCAAACTACTGTCATTCCTCTGCTTCTCCATAAACTCTGACCTGCTAAGTGACATACCAACAGATTTCAAAGTTTTCATAGGCCTCATTCCTTCTACTCTCTTCCGTCTTTGCCTCCTAATCTCTACAGCTGCTTCAAACTCTCCTCCATCAACATTAACTTCCTCAACCATCGGCAATGGATCATCAGAAGCCCGAGCACCTGGGATGTTCCCTAAGATTACATCAAATAGGGGGGTCTCCATACATGCTGCCCTAACAGTACCTCTATAGAAGGGAGAATCAATTGTAACCCAAGCAACTGGAACAATAGTAGCTCTGCCGTCAGCCATGACACACTTCTGACACTCATCGGTCAAACAATCTCTATTGACAAGAGAGCTTCTGACAATGACGCCACTACAACCAGTGTCTCTCAAGACATTCACCTTTTGCCCACACAACTTCCCTGGACAAATTGGCATAGTACCACACATACCACACATTGTACCTGACGTCATCTCTGCTTCACTCTTAATTGGACTTGCTGGAACATCCCCACTGTTCCTCATTTTACCATGAGAGTTTGACTCACAATCGGCTCCTCCATGACCAATGTCCACGTCTACCGCCTTGGCAATAGTACTGACTGCTTCTTCAATCATTACACTGGCTATGCCCAACTTACCTTTTTCCTTAGACTTGACCACACTGCATGACGTAGATATGTGACCTAATTCCCCACAGCTATAGCAACGTCGTTGCTTAATAGGAACAAACCCCTTTAACTCCTTCTGTTCTCCTGTTTGTGATCTGTTTTGACTACTCGAGCCCTTATCTCTATACTTATCATTACCTGATGGGAAAGACTTATTAGGTTTTCCTGAAATGGTACCACGAGCTTCCATAAAATACTCTGCCAACTTAGCCATCTCGTATGCAGTTTTTGGCTTTCTCTCCTTTAAGAAAATACTAAGATTCGGTCCAACAGTATTCAAAATCTGTTCCCTCAACAATAAATCCCTAACCCCTGCATATGTCTTTGCTGTCCCACTCAACTGAATCCACCTGGTAAAGTAATTTCCAATCCTAACTATGAACTGGGTAAAGGTCTCACCTGTCTCTGTTTTTGAAGTTCTGAATTTCTGGTGAAATCCTTCTTCCGTCATTTCATATCTTTTCAACAAAGCCTCCTTTACCTGATTGTACTCTTCTGCTTGATCTGGGTCAAGCCGGGAATATACTTCTAATGCCTTACCTTTTAGCAAAGTACTGAGATACGCAGCCCACTGGTTTTCTGGCCAAGATTGAGCTTTAGCTATTTGCTCAAACCGCTGCAAATAAGCATCTATGTTGTCCTTCTGATCTTCAAAAGGTGGCATCTTAGGCATCTTCGGTACGCCCACTTGCTTAGTTCCACTCTCTCCATCTGGCTTACCTTTCTCTATCTTAGTCTTCGCAAGCTCCATATCTAACCTAGCCTTTTCCAATTCCATAATCTTCTCTTTTTTCCAGCATAACTTTTCTAGCTCTGCATCTCTCATCTTCTCCTCATTATCAAATTTAGCTATTTCTAATTCTATAACCTTATCTTTCTCCAACTTAGCTATTTCCAACTCTATAGCCTTCTCCTTCTCTTCCTTCTCTATCCTTCTCATCTCCCGATTATGCTCCTGCATATCTATCTCTAAATTCGCTACCTCTCTAGCTCGCTCTATAGCCACCTGATCCTGAACAAACTACTGCAGATTTTCCCTGGTGTATCCTAACTCCTTCCCTGTACAATTCTTATCCAAATCCATGATAAGCAGAATACACCAGAAGCTTGCAATAACCATCCCAAGTAAACCAATGAAACCCTTCATCAAAGGTATTTGGGTCAAAGGGACTCGTCACACCTCAGCAAATCAACAGATTAAATACAGTCACTTGAAGGCACTATGGAATAGCTGGGAAACATCCTACTAGGCCACATACCCTATCTACGCCTATCGGTTATTCTAGGCAGTTTCAGATAATCAAGCCAAAATCCAACCTATCACTCTGTGTATGACAAAAAAACTTTTATCCCACCGCTGCCACCAAAAATGTCAAAACACGGAGTAATAACACAACCCAAATATTGATTAAGAATATATTTATTAAATAAAATTAAGAATTATGTTGGTAATGATGTATCCAACGCACTCACACCCATTCAGCTACCTTCCACTATCACCCTTCACACACTTCACACACTTCACACTCTTCACATCTTTCACATCTTTCACACACACTTCACATACTTCACACACTTCACATCCTTCACATACTTCACACACACTCTGTCCCTCTAACATACACTTTCCAAATAGTTGAGGTTAACCCTACTTACACATACACTAATTTTGCACTAATACTCTATCTCTAAATTTCTATTAATACATCAATATATCATCGCATCAATGACAAAACATCAATGCATCAATACATCACATCAAAATCAGAACACATTAATACATCTCAACATCAACACCTCAATACTTTAACATCTTAAAGGCATTAATTCTTCTAACACTTCAATACATGCATGTCAACAATTAATACTCTCTCATTATGTACACAATATGTACAAAGCCATTCGCCACGCCTCCTTCCACGTGATTGCATTATACACTGAACATTGTGTCGAGCCTCACACAGGTCTCATTCTATCCAGATGTAAACATTCCATGTACTTCATGGCCATCTGTCGCCCTGGTGTCAGGCTTCATAAAATGAATATCCCTGCCTCCTCATCCTTCGTACAGGTGCCCCTCTGGGTCCCCGGACACTATACAACAAACGTTTACACGTAAGTTTATACACAAGTGACCATTCACCTTACATCAAGTATGACATACTCGGAATGGTACACACATAGTTATTCACCATACAAATGAACATGGGAGCATGCTCAGAATAACTATACACGGTTATTCAACATACATTGAGTAAGTACAACTTAGAATAACCAATGGCAATATCAAAAGTAAATATACATCATGATATTATTATGGGGGTGCAGGCTAAAACGGCACCTCAGCAAAACGTCACCGATTTCTCTGGCGAAAACGGCACCGCATTTGGCGGAAACGGCTACTATGTGACAGGCGAAAACGGCACCTCTATTTCTAATAATGATAAGAACGATTTATGTACAATGTAGTAGTATATCTGATTTATGTTATTTGTTACATATTATTTGATGTATTTACATGTTATTTCCAGTTGTTCACAGATAATTACATACATTCACATATATACAATATATATTTTATGGCCGCTGTCAATACACTGAGAGGAAAGGCCTTGCGAGCATGGTATAAGATCAAAAGTTCACTGAAATCAACTTCTCATCTCCCAGCAGACATTCTCATTCGCTTGTATAATGTCTTAATTGTACCCATTGCATCATATGGAGCCGAGGTATGGGGCTGCAGTCTTCTAAGACCCCCGCATGAAATGTATCATAACTGGTCTAAACAACTATGTAATGAGATCACTATCAAAATAGCAAAGCAGATTCTAGGAGTTCTTTTTGTACTGTCCAAATTATCAGAATGAAAGACAGATACTTCTTAGAAGACTAGACTTACAAAACTGCTAAATTGATAATAAAATCTTAGCAAATATCCTGAACCCCTGTCCTGAAAGAGGAAAATATGTTTCACAAATTATCTCCGACATGTTTATTAAAAGAACCTCTCTTATAGACAACATCTAGATATGACCTTATTTTACTTCAAGGCATGTTATGTTTTCACAATAATTTGAGTTGCGTATAGGCTAAGTTGGAATATAGTTGGAGTAGAGGCTAAATTCTAATGTAAACTAGTTGTAACATTTCACAATTATTGGTGTTTGCAAGAGACCATGTTAGTTTAATATCATTTATTTTATCAAGGTTAAAAAAAAATAGGGTGCCGTTTTCGCCAGGCAATAGTAGCCGTTTTCGCCTGAGGCGAGGTGACGTTTTCGCCAATCGGTGCCGTTTTCGCCAGGTGACGTTTTGCTGAGGTGCCGTTTTAGCTATAACCCACGTAATTCACGATGAAAAGACATGTTCTTACATCCGTTTACTTTTCTATCTTACATAATATATATATAGTTTCGATTTTTTTTGAACGTGTATAATTTTACCGCGCACTTTTCGTACATCGCCGAAAACAGGTGAAACCGGGATATATTGTGATTAGAGACAGGGCCCAGCTTACTGTACTGGCTCCTAGCTTGGCGCAAGTTGACGACGCGCATAGGGAGCCGGGAACCAGCTTAACTGGGTACGTAGCGCCAGCGCAGCATACCCAGGGAACCAGACTGGCTTAACTAAGGGAGACAACTTTACATACGGACTCGTGACACGGTTCCTTTTGCCTCCTCCACCTTAAACAAAGCAGAAACATTTGGTTGCACGCGCAGTGCAAACATTGAATGATTACTTTCCGTAACTGGTTGCGAGTAAACACAGTTTCAACCATACACTGCTTTGTGCGTTTTACGGGATATACTACAAGCACAATGTCTGACGTGAAATTATTGGTCGACAATAAAATTGAAGAAAAGAAGGTGATGGTTTTCTCGAAGTCAACATGCCCGTACTGCACGAAAGCGAAGGCAGTGCTCAAGAAATACATCGGAGATGGAGAAATCTTGTCGGCGGAAGAATACGAGGTTATGGAGATCGAAAGAGATTCACGGTGCTCTGCAATACAGGATTATCTTTTGAAAATTACAGGAGGAAGATCGGTATGTCACATGGCACAAGTAAATGAAATGTGACGCAAGCCTAGCAACAAGGTTGCGGGGGTTATCGAGTTAGCTCCTCTCAGTCAGTGATCTGAGTGTCAACTCTATAAGTGCACTTAACTTTCATTAATTCGATATTTCGGTTTCAACTAAATTCATGGAGTAGTATAGGTAATGGGGGTTCTGGCTCACTTCAACTGGAGCCAGATTTATATACCTATACTGCTACTACAGGGGGATCGGTAACTAAACTGTAAACAAAGCACGATGTCGAAATCAGGCGTGGTGAAAAAGAGGCCCACTCTAGTCAAGCTACGAAATTGGTCGGGAAGAAACCATCCGATGCAATTAAAATGAAATCTGTGACTTCCGAATCTTCAGCACCGAGGAGAGGCAAAGAACAAAAACTTCCGGATAGAGTAAGCGTAAGATATTTATACCAGCCCCGTGAACTCGAAGGAGGCCTACGTCGCACAACCGATCCTATTTGGTTTTTAAGACATATAACATTAGTAGATTGGTTATGAAAGAAGGAGAGCCTATTCTTTATTATCTTAAAGATGGACCGGGCAGGGCATTTGTACGAGAAGAGTTGCTTATAGTTCCCAACGATACAGTATTACCGCCCTAAATAACCATAAGCATAGGTAGTTACACCATCCTTATCAATCCATCTCTTTGTATCTAAGGGGGATAATGATGTCTTGTTCATTCTTAATCCATATATCCTGTGATTGTAACTTCTTAAAGAGTTCATCTCATGTTTGAATGTTCTACCGTTGAATAATGATTCTTTATACTGTTCGTGTTTGATATGCTTTTATGCCACATACTTCTTAACACCCTTAGCTTTTCTTATCTCTCCATTATCGGACTTCTTTATAGAATACATCTTAGGTCTTAATCTCCATACTCCACTATAGGGGTCCCAGCACATTCAACCTTCATCTTACCTAACACCTTTTTATTTACTACGCTGTGCAGTGGATTAAATTTTCGGGTAATCGCTCGTGTCGTACATATCTATTTTTTCTGCCATATCTTTATACACATCCTCAGTTTGTATTTCCATCAACAAAGTATCTGTGTCGGTATATAACACCTCGCATCTATTGCCCTATTGCTTCTTAAGTTCGTTGTAATAAAAGTTATACATTAAGTGTTTTGACAAGTCAAGAATACTCATACCAACGTACACCGGTCTGTTGAATTTTATATTACTCTTCTGCATATGCAACGCAGCTAAGTCGTTATCGAATATCTTACTTCTGTTAAAAGCCGGACTTGCTATAAGTTTCCTGAGTCTTTCTTCCTCATTAGACCTGACTAATTTAACATCAACACGCTTCCTTAGATTCTCCATAATTTTACCAAATACTGAGTTATTCATGAGCTTATATAGATTCTTTTCGAAATCGCTGGTAGCCATCTTTCTTAAATCTGTGTTCGGCCTTATATAGGGCTCAATCCAAGGGCTTTGATCAAACTTTAGAACTCTGTGTATTTTCTTTAGTTTCACACCTAACGATAGATATAACTGGAGATTTCTGTAGTGAACTATATATTTTGTCTTATCCATCAAATTTGGTACGAGTTTTTCTACATTAGCTAACCTAGTATAACCCATCAAGGAGTGTTGATATTCCGACATCCAATCTTTATTAACCATTAATCAAATTTGGTACGAGTTTTTCTACATTAGCTAACCTAGTATAACCCATCAAGGAGTGTTGATATTCCGACATCCAATCTTTATTAACCATTAATCGTCGAATCTAGACTAATCATCCATATATTCGTAAGGATATACACCTTTTCTCAGCAACAAATGACAGCACCGATCGGTATATTGATTTGTTATCGCAAAGTCATCTGGATTGTTTGCATTAGCTAAATTGTCCAGGGAAGATAACAGAAACTGTACGGAGTCTATGAATCTAAGTCCATTACTTTGTTTTATTCTGGCTTTCCCATCCTTGTCGGTATAATGTATAGTTTTAGTCAAGGAGAATGATATATATTTTTCCATATTATTAGGAATACACGTTAAGCCGCCGTCGGTATTTGAGATAGCTTGCATGATGAGATGTGAATCGTATCCTCTAAGGTTATGAAACACAACGGGGATGGGTATTGTTTGAGAATTCATTTTTAGTTTCAAGTTACACTTGTTATGCAAGGCTCCTCGATAATTACCTGTGACGTGGCAATGATCTCTTACGGAATCCCCATTCAGGGGTTTATTACAAACATGACAACTCCTTCACTTCTTATAGGCCCTCCAATCATCCCTCCTCATACACATGGGTTTCTTACGCGATAGATTTTCCCTGATTATTCTTTTCAATTTTGTAGATATTCTAGGAACTTTCCCGCTGCATCGGGACCTCTATAAATCACGGGCGGGTTTTTTTTCCCATCATACCTTACAACTATATATCCAAATCCACAAGGAATATGTTCTTGAGTTTTGTACGTAAAACTATCTTGATTATCTTGATTGCTGTGTTCAGTATTTTCTATAGGTTTGATAAGCGCTTTGAAGTCGGCGTAAATTACGTACGGTACTGGCATTTGATTACAATAATGTTCAAATTTTAATATATTTTTTCCCTCTTTAGGCATATCAATCCTGATAGCAGTCTGTCCAACACCTCTGCAGTCTTCTTTATGCGCTTCTAATAGATCTTGTCTGCTGTACCCATGCAGGCATCTTTCACGGAAATATTTCTTTTCCTTATGGGTTGTTTGATCGTATAAAAGTCTGCTTAAACTCTTTATCCATGTATAAGGATATTTTCCATCTTTTTCGATCAGAAATGAATTGATTCTGGGAATATGTTCCGGAGCAGAGCTTATCCTGTGTACAACAATTCCTTTAGAAGAATGTCCGAAAACATTTATAGCTAAATTATTTTGCTTTTCCACCTTATCAATTTGTGATATTGGTGTAGGTTCATCTATACCATCGAGGTTTAGTCCATCGTTTTGGGGATAGCTAGAAGGTCTATCCGGATTTTTGTCTACGGGGAACAATGCAGATCTTATCATCATTCTGAAACAGTCATTAGATTTATTTTTTACATTAATTATGGCTTTTTTCTTTTTATAACATGGGGGTAAATCTATATAAGATCCACCTTTGAAGGGCATATAATTGGCTACATCTAAATATAAACTATCGATTTTATCCACACCCCAACCCGAACCTCTATTAGTCCAGCGTTCTAAAGTTTCCTATATCCTCTGAATTGATGTATCTAATGATGTGTTTATAGTATCAGATTTGGTTATAACTTCTTGATTGCTACGGAAATATGGTTCGGTATATTCAGTGCTATCGTCTGCGCTACTTTTACTCAATGACATTTTAATCGTCAGCTGGTATTTTATACTATGTAAATCATCTAATTCCTCGTTTATTTTGCTCGACACAATGGGCTTAACATCATTAACATCCATGTTGGAATTAATATCCATCTTCCAACCTCTTAGATATTTACCAATGCCGGCGGATGTGGGTACAAATTTTAACTCATTATTTTTTTCAACATCATCAACTGATTTATTATCAACATCATTGGATTGATTATTATCTAGTAAAGCGATCAATTCAGCTTTTCTCATTCGAGAATAACCTCTCAGCCCACTGTTTTTTGCTTGAGCTTTGAGTTCTCTAACAGTCTGGGGTTTGTTGTATTCCAAACCGAGTAAATCGATCAATTCAGTTTTTCTCATTCGAGAATATCCACGTAGACCACGTTGCTTTGCCAAAGCTTTCAGCTCTCTGACAACATAAGTCATTGTGATATATAAATACATGTGAACTAATGTCTAATTGGTTTGAATTCTACCCAATCTATTTATCTCATTTCGGTAAGCCTTTTTCCTCTCATAAATAATTTGAAACCGTTTCTTGTCAGCATTGTGACTCTTACATAAACAGTAACTACCTTTGACCCCAATGGAATGGATTCCACAAAAATCTGACATACAGTTCTTTCCACAAATTTGTGATCGGCCCAAGCGTATGAATTTACATCTTGATTTGCCTCTCGCCATTGTGATAAATATACACTTCTAGTATCATTTGTCTAAATGCATGCCCAGCCTAACATCTCCACTGGTGAGTCATAGCTGTCAGGTCTACCGATTAAATGGCTAAAGAAACACCAACGTCAACGTTGCAGTATTATTCATATTGGAGCATCACCCGTTGCAACCCTTGAGGGGGTCCAAATTATTAAAAGTGACAGCATTTCTCTTACTAAGATATTCATGCCGTATAATATACATTTGATAAGGTTGATGTATGCTCTCAAAACATTTAAGCAAGACCAATTAAAGACTATTATATGATATAATAATATACACTATGGGTTTATATCCGGCGCTCGATGAGGCATCTGAAAAGATGGATACTGTTGATGGATTTCAATTACATCAAATAAGCGACATAAAACATCGAATAGATAAGGAGAGGGAGTTTAGACTTGGATTGTATAAAAAGTATCGCAGAGCCGTGAATGCTCTTGATGGAGTTGACACCGCGCTTGTAACAGTTGGCATGGGACTCGGTGTAGCTGGTGTCGGTTTATTATCAACTATAATCGCCGCGCCTATCGTACTTGGCATGGAAATAGCGGCCGGAGTCTCAGGACTGGCAGGAATAACGATAAAATTCATTTCTCGTAAGTTGCAAAAGAAAGCATTAAAACATGATAATATTCGGATACTCGCCGAAGCAAAGTTGAACAGCATTGAGGATCATATTTCAACAGCAATAGCTGATTGTAAGATACCCGAGGAGGAGTTTCGTTTAGTGCTGTCGGAACTCACCAAATACAACATAATGAAGCAGGAGATTCGATCAAATTCTCATAAGACCAGTGGTATTATCGAAGACGAGAAAAAAAAGTTCATAGAACAGGGGAGACAACAAGCACGTCAATTATTCCGTGCCAAAACCAAAGAACTGGTTGGAGATTAAAAATAGATTGCTTACTATCATTAGATCACACCGCATAAAAAATCATATATTCATTTAGAAGAATGCTTACATAAATATATAATAATGGAGAATTACAAACCAACAAAGGAAGAACTTGAAAAAGCTATCAAAACATTTATATTCAGGGACAAAATTATCAAATGGAGAGAATTACCACAAGGTTTATATTATATCAGTGATGTCAAACCAACCAAATACGGTCATCAATTGTTTCTTTCCAATTACCAAGAAGAGTATATAGTCTGGTCTCCTAGTAAAATGAACGAAGAACTTAGTAAAAATGTTGAATATCACTTCGTTAAAAATAATGGTATACGTATGAATAAAAATAATAGAGAATATTGTCATTACAATTTAGTTTAGTCTTATGACTATCGTTGAATCGCATCATCATTTACACATAAAAAATTCCCCCTGTAGTAGCAGTATAGGTATATAAATCTGGCTCCAGTTGAAGTGAGCCAGAACCCCCGTTACCTATACTACTCATGGGGCTATAACGGTTATAAATGGGAAATAATATACATATGTTATTTTTCCGATTCAGTAATTTTCATTATTATATACTGGGATGCAGTTTATAAGCCATTTATTAGGTAGATCTATATACTTATTGACACTGCACATCATGAAACATCGTGGTCTGAACACTGTCTACAGTAGGACATCTTGTGCAGTCAATCAGTTAGGTTTGTCGGCTCTGGTGTTGTAATGAAAATAACAGGTAAGAGCTGTGCCCCCTTCTGATGCATTTTAAAGCATCATGCTTGCAGATAATACACTTGTTGGGTATTGCTCCAACATTTTTAGTTGCATTTAAAAACTTCGATAGATTGGCAAAATGGTTCAGTGTCAAATATTTTGGCTACAGGAAACTGTCCTGGGACTTCCACCAAAGCCACTTTCACTTGCTACATTTGTTCAGTACTGATTCAAAAGCCAACTCGCCATTGTGGTGTCACTAGCCATGCCTATCCTTCCTCATTCCTAATATGATCCACAATATCCTTACAGTGTTCCTTCACACTTTTCTGTCACAAAATTACCAAATGAATTATTAACTACCATGTCATTCATGTGTCCTCATGAATTCGACGTCTGACACCTGAAGCTGCCGTTTTCAGTTCACTCCATATCGGCTCATTCCTCACCACTCAGTATCTTGTAGATTACAGAATGAGATCCGTTTGCTAAATGGCATCGGGATCACTTGTATCAGTGTGGACGTAGCTCAGTTGGTAAGCTGTCAATATTACAATCACAACGCTGCGTGTTCCCTCTGGCGGATTCTCACAAAAACTGGTTGTCTTAGTGACGTGACCTACAGCAGACATCGTCCTCACAGGAAGTTGTGGTGTTGTTAAGGTGCTCCGGCCTATGAAATATTTGTAAAGCAGTCGACCTTTCTATACTGGCTGAAAACGAGGGCTGTGACGTGTAACTCAGGTACTTGGATCGTTTGGGTCCTGAGTTGGACCCGGGTACCCACAGAAGATGTGAAGATGTCTCATGATGTATTGTTTGAGGGCAATAACAATGAAACTCCATGGTTCAAATGCAAGTCGCTAAATGTTTGCATTTCTATCTGAGTGTGCAGTCTTCAATCCTTCTGACCTTTTTGTGTTTGAATAAGGATAAAGCTTCGGCCAACTTCAGTGTATGTATCTAAATAGTTTTTCATTGGACATTTTGTAAACAGTTTGCGACCTACAGTAGGTAGGGTCAGGTACAAGTGTAGTCAATTTGGCTTGTCCGAGCCCTACTGCAAACCGTCTATTTTCACACGTTTTAAGGCATTGTTTCTTAGATCTGGAGAGTCAGAAAAGTGAAGATTTGAAGTTTTGGACCATCAAACGTATCTGCTCACGGTTCCCTTCAGCTCATTTCCCCATTTGTTCTGTTCTTATTAAAAATGTAACGATTAAAACTGTGTTCAATCTTACTCCACTTATTTAATTATTACTATATATATATATATATATATTGTGTGTCAGTAGGGTATGAAGACACACAAGTCACTCAGCTTTGTCGCCAATTACAAGTATAGATTACCACGCTTACTGGATGGGGACTTATTTCAACCTGAAATCCCCACAGACATATTCAGACATAATAAAAAAAATATTTTTTTCACAAATAACCATGGAAACTGACAGACAGATATTTATAAGTCAATAATTCCATTCCATTCTGTTTACAAACTGTTCTACAGTTGAATAATGTGTGAAGAGACCTAGCTAATGTGTTATGATGATAGAAATTTGCTGGACATGTCCTTGTCACTTAGTTGGATTTTGCCATTTCAAATGTCACTTTCACTATGGTTAGAATTGCTTTTCTGTTTCATAAAGTGTTTAATCTCTGGTACTTATTTCTTAGCTTGCCTAATAATGAGTGCACCTATTGTCATTCTGTACCCATGAAGATCTGGGTTAGAATAGGTCTTCAGCAACCCATGCTTGCCATAAAAGGCGACTAACAGGATCGCTGACTTTGTTGATGCATTTCATCTTTTCCCAATTGCTTGGGTTGGTGCTCATGATGTCAATAACTGGATTGTCTGGTCTAGACTTGATTACTTACAGAACATGGTCATGTAGCTTGAATATTGCTGAATGCAGCTTTAAACAATAAACAAACAAACTTTGTATTAGGAGTAATGCCGGACAGGCCCTGCATCATGGGCACCAGTTCCTTAACAAGTAGGTAAATATCGCCCAATGTTGATTCAGTTTTGAAATATAAAGTAAGTTTCTTTCTGCCAGCCCTTGTGCACAGACATGTTTTAATATGCTCCTCAAAATTGTGCCAGCAATATAAATAGGACAATAATATTGTATGTTGCCCAAGGATACACACATGCTTTCAAATGATATATGCAGCCCCCACAGACTCTTTGCTGCTTTTGAGCTGATTTTGTTCACCCAATTGCGAGATTTTTGCCTTGTGCGACTTCGCCCAATATTAGGCTGTGTGCTAAGCTTGGTTATGTGTACACACGTCATAAATACTTCATGGGTGTGAATATAATCCACTACGTACCTGTGAAGTACTTGCCATGAAATTCAAGTGACATAATTCTTTGATAGTCACTTGTGCATGCAACTGCATGTCATTGGACTACAGGTTCCCGCAACTTGCACAAAGACATCTTTACAATAATATTAATAAACTATATGTAAGAATATTATGTAGAGGTAGATCTGTGTTGGTAATACTGAAGAGATAACACTTTGTCTTGCCTAATTCACAAGATTGACTACACCAATGAAAACATAACATTATGATGGACCCTGACAGAATCCTATGTTCATGATAATTCTACACGAAATGATAGCTTTTATACACCTTACATTCAAGTGAATTAGCAATGGTACTTTTCAAAGGACAGAACTGATGTTCCTGGTTGACATTTTCAAAACAACTAAACAAAGATATGTCCAGAAAAAAATACAACTAGTAGCCATGGAAAACAATAATAGTAAAAGCCACAACTACAGTTTATGGTGAAAGTGTGTACCAAATTTTGTAAATGTAGCCCTCGTGGTTTTCAAGTTCTGCTCTGGAGAAAACATATGGATGGATGGACGGACCTGTTTCAATATCCTGTGCAGACTTTGTTGTGACAGGTGATAATTATTGTGCCATTTTTTATACTTTCAGTGTTGAGAGCTCAAAGGATGGAAAAAGTGGAGGGTTTAGTTGACAGAGAGGAGGGGGAATGTTTCTTCCCTTCTGCAAAGATATTGTTTTTAAATATTTGACCGACAGCTATTTATGAGTGGCAGGAAATGAGAAACATTCTTAAATATAACTGATAGCCTTCGCCCAAACCCTGTTCATCCAGAAACCTAGTGTTCAAGACAAGATATTCACTGAACATCTATTTATGATCACAGGGACATTACTAGGAAACCATAAATGAGTCCTCCCGCAACAATTTCACTGAGTGCGTACTGTCCGGATCAACAGGGTTTCATTGTAGATATTTTATAACTGATGTTTGCCAGCTGGCACCTGATTGTCCGATTTTCAAGTGGTTTTATGACAAATATTGTGTGAGGGATCAAAGTAATGAATAGGGACACAAGGTTCTGTAGCTCCCCTGAATAATGGTCTGGAACTTTACATAAGATAAGACCAAGACAAGGGAAAACAAGATACAGTAAACTACGTTTGTAACAAACATTTTATAATAAACTGACGGATATAACAAACTGTTTTTTTTGGGTCCCGGCTATTTACTGTACATATGATGTATACATGCTTATAACAAACTAAAATTAGTAGTCCCATTGTCTTCGTAATAACAGTAGTTTACTGTTGTGGAAAAATTAAACTATTTTTAATCAACAGAGATTTTGACTGCAGGTACATTAATTTACATATTAATACATGCATAGCTGAAGTTGTAATGTTTGACATGTATGATAATGAGATATTGATGCAGTTTTGTTTTAACTTGTTACCTTGTTCATGTGAGCACATTTTTGTTTTCTTCTTTATTATGACCTTTGTAGCATGGCTAGTGTTAAAAATATTTCATAAAGAATATTAGTGAACTACAGGTTTGTGACTATAGTTTTGTTTGTAATCATGGTATGTAAGTAGTTTTCTTGTTTCTAATGTGATATGGGGTGGTGGTCCTGTAACCTAGAGATTAAAGCGTTCGCTCGTCACGTCAAAGACCCAGGTTCGATTCCAACCAAGGGTACAATGTGTGAAGCCCATTTCTGGTGTCCCCTGCCGTGATATTGCTGGAATATTGCTAAAAGCGGCGTAAAACCATACTCACTCACTCTAATGCGATATGGTGGTGGTTTGTTTACATTTGCTGCTTTATACATTCATCTATGTCTTTATACATATGTCTGAACACTTCTGGGTTTTTTTTCAGGTGCCAAGAGTTTTCATCAATGGCAAATTTCTGGGTGGTGGGGATGAAACTGTTGCCGCAGACAAGAGTGGAGAGCTGAAGTCCCTCCTAAAGGCCTGATAGACTGCTAACAGCCACACTGAACATGTCCACTAGATGTCCACTTCTTTATTCATTTTCAGGTTATTTCACAGATAAGGAAAATCAATGAAAACACAGTATTCAAAGACTTTGCATATTAGTGGATGAAATAAATGAATTAAATCAACACAATACGGCATTACTGAAATCACAGAAGAATTCAAGGAAAAGAATTTGTCAAATCCAATTCTGAATTATCAATGAAGGTCTTTCATGTTGTGAATTGTTTAATAGGTCTCCTGTTTATTGTGTTAAACTGCATTATTATTGGATTAACTAGTTAGAAACACAACAGGAAGCAATTTGGTCCCTTTGTAACTACATAAACATATATTTTGTGTTTGATTGTGTGTGTATACTTCATTTTACTTTATATTATGAGCTCACCTGACTGAATGTCAAGTGAGCTAATGTCATGGCATATTTGTCCAGCATCCGGCAGAAACATCATCTGAAAAAAACACTGAATTATTGAAGCTGAAACTTTGCATGCTTGTTCGCACCAATGATGACAACCAATTTGTTCAAGAGGTTCCAATCCAAATACAACATCTCATACAATCATGAGCGTTCATGATGTTATCGTGGTCAGTGTTCTGGCATTGAAGGTAGTGTCATTTGTTGAGGATTGACCTTCAGAACCAATATAGTACATGGGCGGATACAGAGGGGGGGGTTGCGGGGGTGCGCACCACCACCCCCCACCCCCACCCCCACCCCTTTTATTTCGAAAAAAATCTTTATTTCTGTATAAATTACCACCAAAGACAATAAATAGATCTTAATTGTGCACCCCCCCTTTTCAAAAAAGCTGTATCCGCCCATGTAGTAACAGCACTTGTATTACATCACAGCCATACTTGTCAACACCTAATTATGCATAATGTTTCTGCCTGGTATTGCACTTCACATAAACTTCCTGGATGTGCTTTGCATATTATTCACAATAGTATATCATACGCTAGAAAAGACATATAGTTTACTAATGGAGTCCCTGTTAGATACTGTTTTCATTACAATGAGAGTATATCAAACTTATGAGGAAAAGCTCATAATATAAAGGATATGTAACGGGGACGAGAATTATTTAGTTATTACTCATTCTTTGCACATTATCTAAATTCAACGTTGTAAAAAGACGTATTTGGCATGAGAGTGAGGTATGAAGCGGAAAATCTAGCTTCAAACTCAGTTCAGTGTAGGGGAACCGGCAAAACGATCATGTCATGTTGGCTGTGTGATTTCATTCAAGTCGGCAGAACGTTTATCTCTAATGAAATTGGTTGTAATTACCGTCAAGCTACACCATTTGTTCAATTTAGGAGCACAAGAGTCACGACACGAGTTTGCATTTGTTGACATGAGGTCGACATTTCTAACAACTGGCCACTTTGTCCAAGAAGCGCTACTCACATTTACAACATGAAGTTCAAGATCATAAGTAATCGCAGTGATGAATGTTGAGATGATATTTCGACATAATGTGTTGTTTATTAGTGATGTCCTGAACATTAATATTACCATCATGCTTGCACTACAGCAAAGTGAGTGTCCGTATACTCTATTGACACACGTTTGCGGTTTCTATAGGCTACTGGAAAAACTCGTGGACTTGACCATCTTCCCAAGGCAAGGGTAGTTAACTGACTGTACAACTCCAGTTTTCACCCTTACCGAACGAGGCTGTTATTTCTGGGCTCGATTGAAGCGCCATGCTATTATGAGTTATGTCCCTCCTATTGACCAATCAGATACTACCTCTCATATCATTTGCATTTGCCTCAAACAAACTGGCGGCACCTATTCAACACGATCTGATTGATAATCAAAATCTATATTGTGATAAAACGGCACGGCATCAAATCATGTGAGCCTCTTTATTCAAAACACGAGGAAAAGATTTGGTGAAAATAAAAGTCCTACTGATGCGCCCAATCAAATAACCAGTTGATGTAAAACAGTCTCTGATGTTGCTAAACATTGTTTAATAAAGGTGTATTGTTAATAAACGTGATATCTTCACGGGTGAGTAATAAAGTATTTATCAACGTTGTCTATGTTCACAAATTAAATCCTTTATTTCCATTCATCACAATTACAAGAAATACATTTGTGTATTAAGTCTCATCAAAAGTATCCTCAGTGAAACGCTGGGGTATCTAAATGGCTGGTCAGATGTTTGACATCCTCATCTGTATCGACACAATATTCCTTAGTTTCACAGAATAAACAAAGCAATACATGAATCCTTGAAATACAAAGTAAAAACATTTATAATAACCACATAATTATATATGCGTAGTACACATCCTACGATAAGGTTCAAGCAAAAAGGCCTGGGAGCCGTATTGTTATAAGTATTGTTGCTTGTTTACCAATCTCCATTTCATTTTACATTTTTGATGATGAAATAAAAAAGATTAAAGGCCTGGGCTCACAGCACAAAATGACTATATTAACTCCAATACTACAATTTTTACTTCGTGAAGTGGGCCGTGCTTATTTAAAGTTTTGTTGTGTTTTTTCTGATGAAAATAATGCTGATACTGGGGACAAAATATGTATTAGAAAATAAAAATGCTGCCAATGCCTTCTATTATTGCCACATGTCAAATCTCATCAAATTTTCTGTACTGTAGATTCAGGCTTATTCGGAAATAGTATCTGTAACTCAACAGAGTAAACTGAGTGCCTTAAGGGCCAGCACATTTCAAAATCTGTAGGCCCCGTGGAAAATGTGTAGGCCCAGACATTTTTGCTGAAACAGGGAGACATACTCTTGCAATATAAAATACAAAACACAACCAGCAATCTCATTAAAATCAGATCTTAGTTCTTGCTACCGCTAAACAAAGATCTGAGGACATCCCATTACAGGTCACGTCAGACCGACCTTGCGCGAACTTTGACCGACCAATGGAATGACCAATCAGAAGGCAGCTTTCTCGTTCTTTACGGCACTAATTTCAAATTGGCGACTACGTTTCGAAACATATTTTGACAAATTCTCGATTACAAATTTGAAACCTGATCAAAAGAACATTCTGGAATGGGAAATAGAGGGGCTAGATTGTATGGATTCAATCGTTAAACCCGTAACTATCGTTCGGAATAAAGTTTTCAAGGTTGCATGATTAGAAATCACATTCCGACTGTCACTTTCATAATCTGGTAAGCGACGCTCTGATTGGTCGGATGAAAGGTCGTTCTGACGTGACCCCTAATGGGATGTCTTCAGATCTTTGTTTAGCGGTAGCGAGAACTAAAGTCTGATTTTAATGAGATTGCACAACCAGTCAACCAGAAGCTTTACTGCTTTCACACTGAGTTCCCAGAGAGAAGACGAAGCCGACATTTATCAAGGAAATTATCAGCTTGTCATCTTTGCTACTACATGCCATATTACATTTGAGAGATATAATCCTACTGTTTATAATATGAAAGTTATGTTTCAGTGATACATTTATAACTTAATCAAGTGCGTTTTTAATAAGAAATATAAGCCAACACATCATAGGTCCAGATTTTCAGCATAATAGAGCTATCCACTAATGTATTTCTTTTTATATTGTTAACGTAATCGGAAAATGATGATAAAAAATGTTTTAAGTACGATCTATCACCACATATGTCCCGATAATAGTGGCTTTCCACTCAGTGACCGGGAATTAGGGGAGGTTGGAACAAGTGATTTCCGCATTGCATTTAAATAATATCCCCAGGTGGCACCTGTCTAAAAGACCGATTACAGATGGCGCCCATCTCCAGAAGGTCCCATATGAGATATGGGACTATCACGCGGTTTGAAGGTAATAGGCATAAATTTGATGTATTTAATGTAAGGAGCACTATTTTTGGTAAACATAAAACTTTTTCTGATTTCCAGGGAAACTAATTTTGCCGTGCTATATATAAGCAAGTATCTGCTATGTAATACAGTGACTGTTCTGACTGTATGGTCTTGTTTCAAAGAGCCCTATCATTGGGGCATAATGGGCCTCAGCGGTCTACTTTACCCCTGGCTAAGATGTGATCTTAGATTTCAGAATGTTAGTAGATGGACTGCACAATACAAACTCAATAGTAGAGTTAAATTTTCTCCAAAAGTCTGCAACAAAACAGTTTTATTCAGAACTAAATGATGACATCCAAACAAAGCGAAAGAAGTGCTACTTGATGTGATTTGTGCACATGAGTGTGGAGAGTTTGATGAGCTCGTCGGTTTTGCAATGTGCTAAATTATTCCTGAAAGTGCTAAAACCACTGACCAAATGTCCATATATACACATCAATCCACAGTATTACATGCTCGAAAACTTAGTGGAAGACTTATCTTCACTATTGTGAGAAATTACAAAAGAAAAACAGATCAAGGGGCCTATGGAAAGGAGACGCTTGAACGTGCATTTGAGGCTGTTAGATCTGAAAGTTCACTTCGTAAAACAGCCCATGGCTTTGGACTCCCACGATCAACTCTGCAGCGACATTACCAGGGAAAAGTACAAGCCATTGGTAATTTAAACAGATTTTGAAAAATGTTTAATGAGGACTTTGCGTCTGAATTGGTCAGAGATATATTGGACATGCAGCAGGTTTCTATGGAATGTCGTATCGAGATATTAGATAGCTCGCTTTCACACGAGTCGGGCATAAACAATGTCCATAAGCCAGGAAAATGTAGAGAAAATCACTAGCTGGGAAAGAGGGAAAACAGTTATCATTGTATGCAGCATGAATGCGATTGGCAACTATGTCCCTCCACTGATTATTTTCCCTAAGGAAAAGAATGGCCATAGGTCACAAGAAAGGTACACCAGCAGGGTCCTTGGGTTTTACGATCAACCAGGTTATATTCATTGCGTGGCTGAAGCACTTCGTAAAATTTGTCAAACAGCCTGTGAAGAAAAGGTGCCTTCTTTTGCTTGATGGACACAGCAGCCACAAGACACTATAAGCTATAACATATGCAAGTGAAATGGGCATCACTATGCCCACACAGCCCATAAACTCCAACCATTAGACCGAACCTTCTTCGAGCCACTGAAGACAAACTACAATCAATCATCAGTCAAATGGATCTTCTTGGAAATGGAACATTTCATGGATGCTTATCAGCTAACGTCAACCATGGCAAAAACGGTTAATGGTTTCAAGTGCAAGAGCATATGACTTTATAACCCTGAAGTATTTGCTGATGAAGATTTTGAAACACATATTGCAGATTCTTCTACGAGCTCCAATCATGATGTGGCTACTTCCACTTCCAGACATGCAACCTCTACTGCTGCAAGACCAATAGAGCCAGCTCATTCATCAATGCACTGCTGCAGGTGTATCAGAACCACCTCTCAACTCTCCACCAGCTCCAGCCAACCCTCCACCAGCTCCAGCTAACTCTCCACCAGCTCCAGCTAACTCTCCACAAGCTCCAGCCAACCCTGACAGCTGCACTGCTGGTGGTGAACCACCTCAACTCTCCACCTGCTCCAGCCATGACAGCTGCACTGCTGCTGGTGAATCAGAACCACCTCAACTCTCCACCAGCTCCAGCTAACTCTCCACCAGCTCCAGCTAACGCTCCACAAGCTCCAGTCAACCCTCCACCAGCTCCAGCCATGACAGCTGCACTGCTGCTGGTGAACCAGAACCACCTCAACTCTCCACTGGCTCCAGCAAAACATCCACCAGTTCCAGCCAACACTCTACCAGTTCCAGTCATTCCACCTCCACTACCTCAGTCTCTTTATCTGAATCTACAGATGTTGAATCTCTTGTGCATGTTGGATCACCAGCACCACAATTTCCAGGCATCAAGGAACAGATAAAACTTTTATCCCCAGTTCCATGCCGCAAAGTTGCCAGGAGAAAGTGCAAGCAAAAAGGTGACAAGGCTACTGTTGTTACAGCATCACCGTTCAAGAAGTAGCTTCAGGAGAAGGGAAATCAATCAACTGGAGGAAGTGGAAAAAACAACATCAGCAGTTCAAAAGAAAGAATTCAACTCCAAAGTCTGATTCTGTCTCGTATGAATGTTTGTATTGTGGAGAGAATTATGTACATCCTCCAAATGAATACTGGTTGGAGTGCATAATGTGCAAAAACTGGTACCATGCAGAATGCGGCGACGAGAGAAACATTTGTGATTTGTAAAGAATTAGAATTCAATTGTTGCAAGCTGATAACTTAGTTCCACTTTGATATTTCACTATCGTGGTACTAACTAAGTACATAATTAGTTCAGTGTTCTATTTCACAATGATGAGTGAGTGAGTTGGGTTTAACGCCGCTTTTAACAGTATTCCAGTTATATCATGGTACGTCAGCTTAATGTGGGGGGGGAGCCTAAAGTGATGCAAGTCTTAGACATTTACCACTTCGGTGAAAACCACGGGTATGGTGCTGACAAACCTAGAAACATAATCGGGGTCACAATGATGATGTCAACTAAGCGTTTGTTCACATACTCTTTGCTTCACTCCCATGTTAACAGTTAAACAGTGTTGACTGATTCGAAGTCGTGGGACCAGCTGAGGAGTATTTTCTCCTAAAATTGTTATTTGTCTTACTACCATGGTGCCAACTAAATAGGTTGCTTAGAATGCGTTATTTGTTTCACAATCTTTTTTCAGTTGAGTGTAATTCAATGTTTTTTTTATTATCAACCGTGGTACCAAACAAGTATAGTCAGTGTAATTTGCTCAAACTTTGTGGTACCAACTGGACAGTTTGTTCAGTAAAGGTGTGTCCTTTGCTTCGAAATTGCGGTACTGTCCCAATGAGTTGTGTGTTCACAATGTTTTATCACCTCACAACTTTTATACCAGCTGAGTTCGTTGTGTGTTTCATTTTCATGGCGCAAGCAGAGTGTGCTATCAATATCATTTACGTGCCAAAAAGACGATTTTGTCAGTTGGTTTTTTTAATTGTCCCTTCAAGTTCATATTTGGATTAAAAGCTTTTGTCAATGCGTTATATTGTCTTCATTTTGTATAAGGTATGAAGATCGTGGAGCCAAGGGGAAAATCGGGTCCACTCGATTCATTTTGCCCCAAGGGTCGGGGTAAAAAATGTATAAACAATAATTAGCAAAATTTCCAATTTAGCTTTGTTCTTTCAAACAGTGATTAGTGACAATGAGAGGTACATTCCACTCGCCTTTAATGATCCACTGGATAAGTATGACAGTATTCTACATCAAATGAAAAATGTGATAGATTGTTCAGGTGCCTGCTCTACGACGACCTACCCTACCTCCGTTTTTCGAAGCTTTGTATAAATAATACGTGCGTAGATTTGTTTGATGTTTGGTATTATTAGAA